TTGATGTTCATGATGAGACTGATGGTGACGATGGTTGATGATGGTCATGTTGAAGGTGGTTGATGTTCATGATGAGACTGATGGTGACGATGGTTAGAATGATGATGATACATCTGATGAATGATCGTTGACGACTAAGACAAATATGAGAGATGTAATGTGATGGTAACGAAAGGGGCTAATGTAATGCACTTTGTTCACTTATCAGTAACTTAATTGAGTAAATGCAAATCTAACTTGAAACGCAGTTAAACAAATAACAAAAAATAAATAAAGATTGAAAAAAATTGAATGATTAAATTCAGAATGATTTATTATTGTAATTAGTGTAACAATGTAATTCATCTTTTGAGGTTAAGATAAAAATAAAATAAAACGTTAAATAAAACATTAAATATCAATGAAATTAGTATATAATATAATTAAACAGTTGTAATGAAATATAAATATTAAATACATTAAACCCCTAAACTAACAACCAATAAGAAGATAAATAAATGGAATGGGATGAGTGGAAAATGGAATTGACTGTTTGAATTGATTTTTAAGTCAACTAAAATAATAGACTAACTTGTAACAGCATGAAGTAAACGTTGCTATTAAAGGCGCGATTACACGGATCAATTTTCTCTGCAACTTGTCTTGCAACAGCGTTGCGACACAAGTTGCAAGATTGTTTACACGGTGCAACGGGAGACGCAATCGTCAACTAAAATAATAATAGACTAACTTGTAACAGCATGTAGTAAAATTTGCTATTAAAGGCGCAATTACACTGGAGTAATTTTCTCTGCGGCTTGTCTTGCAACATCGTTGCGACACAAGTTGCAAGATTGTTTACACGGTGCAACGAGAGACGCAATCGTTGCCAAAAGTAGAAACGAATTCTACTTTTGGCAACGATTGCTGCAACTTGTCTTGCGACTTTTTTTCCAACTGCGCTGTAGGTTACACGCTGTAATGCTCCATGCAACTTGTTTCGCAACGCCGAGAGAAAATTGCTCCGTGTGATCGTGCCTTAAGACCCCGTCCACACTAATGCGTTATCGAAACGCTTCGTTCTTCATCTCAGCGAAAATACATCGAAAGTTTCACGTCCAATTTAGTGTTTTCATAGCGTCCACACTAAAACGATTAAGAGCGCAGATACGATCGGGACAATCTCGTACCCGGAGCCCTTATTTCTTACTGCGCATGCTCGACGAAATAATTGGGCTCTGGAAAACTCCAATATTTCTTGTGCTGTTATTGGTTCTCGAGAACAAAGGAAGATACCGGAAGTAAAAATTACAGTACAGGGAAAATAAACAAGATGGCGTCTCGAATTAAGTACACCAAAAAAGCCTGTAGGGCCGGATTTTTAAAAGTTTTGCCGGTTTTGTAATGGAAATTGTATTGATGTCCATCCATTAGATATTTTCGGAGTTAATTTAACTGAAAACCATCTTCAAAACCGAATTTTCCAAGCGCAAATTCACATGCTCGTTGAACATCTTCCGCCATTTTGAATTTACCTAGTCTGTCATAATGCACATGTGCGAGAAACCCAGAATCTGGGTCTTCCGGTTTGGAGTTTTCCAGAGCCCAATTATTTCGTCGAGCATGCGCAGTAAGAAATAAGGGCTCTGGGTACGAGATTGCGATCGGGAATGATGCAATATCATCATCTGCGCATGCGAAAAACAGACGAGCCGGTGTGAATGACGTCAATGCTTTCAAAAGGCTCCGTTTTCGCTGTCCACACTAATACTAAAGGCCTTTGTTTTTAAATGTCTCCACTGTGGAGAGCGTTTCAGTCTTTTTTAGCTGGAAAGCAAACGTTTGCGTTTTCAAACGGAAATACATTAGTGTGAACAGCCCCTTTGGCTCGTGAAACCCCAGGGCCTGGTTGTACGAAAGGTGGATAGCGCTATCTGACAGATAAATCCTTACCCAGTAGATAAGTCGATTCTGTTATCGAATAAATTTATCAACTGGATAAGATTTGTCTGTCGGTTAGCGCGATCCACCCTTTGTATACAACCGGGCACATGTGGCGGGCAGAGGCTGTAGTACGGTAAACTAACAAAAAATAAATGCATGATTTAAAAATTCTTAATCATAAAAAATAACTCATATCAGCCTTGAAACTGATATCAATAATTGTTTGTTGGTTAGCGCGATCCACCCTTTGTATACAACCGGGCAGAGGCTGTAGTACGGTAAACTAACAACAACAACAAAATAAATCAATGCATGATTTAAAAATTCTTAATCATAACAAAATAACCCATATCAGCCTTGAAACTGATATCTATAAAAAGCGACGTGTTATGCAGTAGACTAAAAATAAACTAAAATAAGGAGCATGAGAAAACAAATCGTCAAAATAGTATAACTCATTGATCTCTTAATTAGCCTTCCTTGCATATCTTTTAAGAGGTTCTTTTCTTTGTCCTTCCCCGGCTACAAAGAACCGCTAAAAAGATCTGCGAGAGGAGGCTCTTTTTATTGGTAATACCTAAGAAGTAATGTCTGAAGGGGATGTACTACAGGGTTTGTGCTACTCCTTAAACTCCTTGAAAACTCCTTGAATTTCTGCTTTGATCATTACTTGCATGGTTCTGAAATAGATCTAGTCAGAAAGATTGGAAAATCTTAAAGTCAGCCATGTGCAACCACCGTGTAAAACCTTGGCATAGTTAGCTGTACATACTCCTTGAAAATTCATTTTTGGGTCCTTGTATACTCCTTGAATAGTTCTTGAATTTTAAGTGGTTACCTCAGCACGAACACCGTATTTTCTACCTTTTCTATATTGACGATAGCGGTTAGCACTCGTTCACATTCTTTTATAATCCAATAGACTCCTTGCAGCACTTTGGAATGAAGCTCAATCTGGGGACAAACAATAGGTTCCAATTGCCCTATTTGACTATGACGTCCAATAACAATCTATTGTTTAAACGCAAAGGATCATGGTCGTCGGAGGGGGTCAAATCAACGCAAATTCACCGAAAATTGTTCTAAAACCCGTATCAATCCACAAAGAGAAGTAGAATAGCAAGCAAACGCTAAGAATATTTTTTAGTACATATAAACACATATTATATCTGAAAACCAGGCCATTTCAGATTAAACTGTTTCGCTAGGAGCAAATTTTGTTGAATTTTCTATTGGAATTGGCGATTCTATCCCCCACATAAACAATCAGTGACGTCATAGTGAAATAGGGCAATTCTCAGGAGATTGGGATTCTTTTGTTTTGTCCCCCAGATAGATCTGCTTTGACGTCACATGCAAGGGGTCTATAGGTCGTTTTGGTCCATGTGAACGAGTGCTAACCGGCGATAGTCTGATGCTAATTAACCTGGATTGCGAGTTTTATCTCGATCTGCGCGCAGCAATGAAAACAGTGTTACTTCATATCGAGAGATTTATTCTATTCTGTCATATTCGAATTTCTTAGTCTGGTAAAGAAGTCATGGTTTGGCCATCTGATGTTGGGACATAACGGTCATCATAGACAAGAGGTCAGTTATTAACTAAAGATAAGATACCTTATTAATATTCGCGTTGATTTACTGCATGGTTTATTAAATTACACGCGAAATTCACGCGGTCAGTAACGTACGTTTCCCAATCATACGATAACCACTACAAACTGACACTATATAAAGTAAACATTCAACCAAAAAAAAACTGACCAAATGATTGATTGACAACCAAAAAATAAAGGCTGTCGACTTTAACGGGAAGCCTAACTCACTCAGACCGGCCAACGGATAGTGCGAAAGATAGCGAACCAACGCGATTACACGGAACAATTTTCTCACAACTGATCTCGCAACAGCGTTACGACACAAGTTGCAAGAGTGTTTACACTGTGCAACGGAGACGCAATCGCTGCCAAAAGTAGAAACATATTCTACTTTTGGCAACATTTTTTTTTTCAAATTCCGCTGTAGGTTACACGCTGCAATGCTCCATGCAACTTGTGTCGCAACGTCGTTGTGAGAGAAAATTGCTCCGTGTAATCGCGCCTTTAGCCAGCCAGATACCCAATCAAACGTACAACGATCCATACGCGGATCGACCAATCATTTAATAATCTATCTCTCTGTGTTAGGAACCTTTCTTCATCGTAATCAAACAGAAGTCTTTCAGTACTGTAAAGGCAGATGTTGTCCATGCTTTCTTATCGGTTAGTTTAATTAATATTCATTATATGGTTTGATTTTCCCTTTTTCACACACTTTCCATCATATTACTTCCATCATATTACATCATATATCTTTTACTTTTTCAACTTCATTGCTTTAGTATGTGCTCTCCTGCTGTCATCTCTTTTCCTGTTTATTTGTTCGTTCGTCTTTCACTAATAGACCCTAACCCTAATGACATTTCATACCTATACCACCACTGGAAATCCTTTTCAAAATCTCTTATCATATTCAAATGTCAATACCTGTGAGAATACTAAAACAATAGTGGAAATTAGTTAAACAAAAAAGCTAGTGAAAAGGATTCTGGAAGTGTAGGTATAAAACGTCATCATGCTTGAGGCTTGTCAATTTAGTTTATTTGTGGTTCTTCTTGGTTTGTTAATTTGTTGGATTTGTTTGTTTGTTTTGTTTTGTGTTTTGATTTGTTTCGTTTTGCTTTTTTTGTTTTTGTTTTTTGTTTGTTTTTTAATCCTATTTTCTTATTATTGTTTCCCATTTTTCATTCTTTTGCTCTTGGGCTGTGCCTACTTTGTCCCTACAGGTCAGTCATCTGACGCACTGTGTTGCCACTCAAAGCAGTTTTAAAGCAGAATACAAGAAAGTAGGAGGTAATCTACCGTACTGGTGATTTACGATTTGCACACATCAATTCTGCTACTTTATTTATGCATCTCATTCTGCATATCCCTCCCTTCTCAGACCTCAATCCACCCACCCATCCATCCATCCATCCATCCAT